CTGGAACCACTGAACTAAATCCGCAGCCCTGTAGTTTGTTTTTTAATCTTGTCACATGAAGTTCAGGTGATATGATTTGCCCACATCTGCCCAAATCCTTGTCCCATGCTTTTCATGCTGCGCAGACTGAGGGGGTCCAGCACAGGTGGTTGTGAGAAAAGCCTCAAACTTGTGGAGTTCCTTCTTCCTAATCACAGAGGATCTGCCTTGGGCCAGAAAACAGAGCTTGATTTTCATCTCTCGTTTGCTCCCAGCACCCATCGCTGGAACTGCCAGCCACCTCTGTACATACCCTTTCTCCACGCTCCCAGGACACCAGAGCTGAAGCCCAGCCCCACCCAGGGGACAGGAGTGTTTCTCCTGTGTGCTGTGGACGGAGCCTGGCTTGTACAGGCCAGAAAGATGCAGTTCCCAGTCTGCAGCCCAGCCTCAGAGGTGGGATTCTGACCCTGTGTGAGCCCAAACCATGGTCCAGCCCCTTGGACCTCCCACTGTTCTAGGCCAGATTTGTCACAGCTTTGCTTCCTTTTTAGGGTTCCTGTATGGATTGGTGGGACACCGTGTCCTGGTCTTCCCACGAGCCAAAGCCCCAGCTTCACAACACTCGGCCCCTCAGGAATAGGGTAGTTGGGGCCATCAACAGGTGTGAAGGTATGTAGAGCATGGCAAATGGCTTTCTTAAGAGAATTACTCAATGCTGGGCACATTTAAATTTTTTAAAACTTTTTAAAAAAAGATATCATCTCACTGTGTAGTTCAGGCTAGCCTCAAACTCACTATGTAGCCCAGGCTGGCCTTGACCTCTTGGCAATCCTCCTGCCTCAGCCTCCTGAGTGCTGGAATTACAGGCATGTGCCACAGTGGCCTGCTAGGGCATATTTTGAGATAATGCCTACTAAGGACCTAGTGGTGGCGCCCTCTGAAGGTTTACACATTCTGTTTTACAGATGAGGACACTGGATGGTATGGCAGCACACACTTGTCATCCAGCTACTTGGGAGGCTGAGGCAGGCGGATTACAAGTTTGAGGCCATCCTGGGCAACTCAATGAGACTATTTCAAAATTTAGAAACTTAATAAGCATTGGGAATATAGCTCAGTGGCAAAGCAAGTGCCCTAACAAGTGTGAGGGCCCCAGTTCAATCCCCAGTGTGAGAAAACACACAAACATATGAACTTGTGTACTACTTCCCACTGGAACAAAAGCACAAAGGTTCCTGAGATCAGGGACTTGTCTTTCTCATCACTTTATCTTCAGAGCCTGAAACAGGGTCTGACACAAAGCATTCAAAAATAACGGAATGAGTACAACCTGACTTACATTCCATAACCCTAAATAAAGGCTGGCCCATGTGCTGTAAGTAGTTTTGTGGCACCCAGAGCGGGGAAGTGATCGCATGTCTTCCTTCGTGATGTCTGGCTGTGAGCGGCTCTGTGGCTGGGCCTGGCCGTGGCTGGTGAGCCCCAGGAGGCTGCAGGCTCCGAATAACTGGTTGTGCTCACCAGGCTCCGAAGGCAGTGCACTTCCTGCCTTTTTGGATGCAGCGCTTTCCTCCCCAGTGCTGGACCAGGAACTGGCCTCAGTCCCTCAGTATCCCGGGTCCCACTGAACTGACCACACGAGGGCAGCAGTGATGGGCACTCTCCTTCCCTTCCACAGAAAAGGCCTAAGGGCCATGTCCCTTCCATCCTGGCTTTAAAGAAAAGGCAAGGAGGGTCCATGCACCTTCTTTTTTCTTTTGTTTTTTTATACACTTTTTTTTTCTTTCAGTGTTTAGCCCTTTGTACTCCATCTTAAGGAGCTGTCAACTCATCCTTTTTCTACAGTTCTTTTTTTTTTTTTTTTTTTTTTTTTTTTTTGAGAGGCTCCCCTTGTGCTCACTGCTTCTTGGCAATCCTCCTGCCTCAGCCTCCTGAGTGCTGGGATTACAGGCATGCACCACCATGCCTGGCTTCTCTACTTCACTTTTGAATTAACCTATAATGTTGGGTGCAGGTCAGTATCTATCTAGGGGTCACCATAAAAAATAAAAGGAAAAAAAAAGGAAGAAGCAGAGTTCACTACTATTTGGGCCCCACTTAGTTGGGGTTGAAAGGGAAATGTTCATTCACTGAGCCAGGCTGGAATGTTGCACCGGCACAAAAACATCACAAACCTGGACTAGATTTTGGACTATTTACTGGATACATGTGTGCAGGGACTGTATTTGGTCCTGGGGATCTAAGTGAGCAGATTGATTTCCGTGGCCTCTGGGGGCTGAAGAGCAGGTGGGCAGGAGGCTGGGAGGGCTGGTGGTGTGTGGGGGCCCTGACCACACCTCCGTGTCTTCCCCAGGATTCTGTCATCCACTCAGGGAAACTGCCCTGCATCTGTCCCATGCCTGGCCCCACGCTTCCATCGGGGTCCCAGGGCAAACAGGAAAGGGACGCACTCCCTGCCCTTACAGTGTTCAGTGTAAGAGGAGAAATTAAATAAGTCATTAAACACCATACAAATATAACCCTGGGATACAAAGGCCAGTGCAGGCTTCAAGTACAAAACATGCTGGGACCTGACTGAGCTGGGCCAGCCACCATGCAGCGCTGAGTCTGAAGGCCGTGTGAGTGGCCCTCTCAGGGCCGCAAGGCAGGGACAGGGACAGGAAGGGGCGGCGGGGTTGCGGGGCTGGGACGGCCTAGGTCTGTGGCCGTATGGATGCACTAAGAAACCTGGGCACAGGCTGAGCGCCAGCCTTCGCAGCCAGGGTAGCGGAGGGCGCAGCACTGATCCCGGCAGGGCTCCGGCTAGCATCGCTGAGGGGCTACGCGTCCATCCCTACGACCATCCAAGGGCCCAGCGCCTGTGGACTTAGACCCGAGGTGCTTGTGGGAAGAAAATAAGGCAGGCCAGGGGCCAGGGCCGCCTGGTGACGTGGGGTCTCACCCCTGTGGCCCCTGCAGGAGCCAGGGAGCAGGCTCAAATGGGAATCCAAGGCCGAGGGGAACAGTGACTTGCCCAAGGATACACGCAATGCAGGTCCAGTCCTGGGCCCTCTGGGTCAGGCCTGGGCCTCAGGCTTCGCCGCCTCCCCATGGAGGGGCTCCAGGCAGCCTGGATCCGAGGCCTCCTCGCCGGATGCCACCAGAGGCCCAGAATCTTCTCTGGGGACTGTGCTGGGGGCATCTCCATCAGCCTCCATCTTCTCCTTCAGGCTGCGCTTGAAGAAGCCAACCTGTGGCAAGACAAACACGCAGCCCTGAGACCAGGGGTGAAGACACTGGCATGCACGATTCTCAGAAAGAAAGAAATCTTGGAAATATATATATTTTGGCATGATGGATTGAACTCAGGACCTGTGCTTGCAAGGCAGGCGTGGTGCCACTGAGCTAAATCCCCAGCCCTTGGAAATATTTTTCAAGAGCTTTACATTTAATAGTTCATTCTTTAGGCTCATCAGAATGTTATGAATCAAGCCAGGCATGGGGGCACACACCTGTAATCCCAGCACACTGGGAGGCTGAGGCAGGAGGATGGTGAGTTTGAACCTGGGCAACTTAGTGGCTTAGGGAAACTGTGTCTCAAAATTATTTATTTATTGAGACAGGATCTCACTATGTCATTTAGACTGGCTTTGTTCTAAAAGAGATCCTCCTGTCTCAGCCTCCAGCATGCATGCTAGGATTATAGATGTGTGCCACCATGGCCGGCACAATAGGGAACTTATTGAATAACAGACAGGGTATTCAGACAGCAGAAAAACAGCTACATTCAAAGTCAGGAAGGAGAGCTGTTAGTGGCCACATGGAAAGACATCAAGTGAAAAGTAAGCTCCCAAGCAGTCTACCCCCTCTACTCATCTAGAATCATCATTTCTGCAGGTAGGAAATACAATGACTTTTCCTTTCACACTCATATATACATACATATGCAGATGACCAAGTTAGAACCTGGAGCAACATAGCCAGACACTGTGGTGCATGCCAGTAATCTCAGCACTTGTGGAGGGACACGTGCCACTACACCCGATTTGAAACTTTGATTGTCTGTGTTCTCTTCTCTGTTGTACTAAGCTCTTTACATGGAACATCTGCCCTCTACTCCTCTCCCTCTCCGACTTCTTGCTGGAGGCTCCACAGGCCTGCAGCCCGAGTGAGGCCCCCATGTTGCAGGCCCAGCGCTACCTTGTGGCTGCCTCTCCCCGTTAGGCTGTGTATGAGCCGCTGTATTGGGGGCCTGGTAAGGTGCTGGCACTGGAAGCCAGGGTACGTGGTCCTTCGCTCCTTCACCTCCCAGATACCCAGTTCTGCTTCTGCCAGCGCCAGGCTGAGTGACGGTGGAGAAACTTCACTAACTCTGTGGGCCACAGCAGCCTTATCTGCAGGGCTCTGAGGCTCTGCCCGTGGTGCCTACCCCGCCTCACCGACTCAGCAATGCCTGCTCCTCCCAGAAGCGCCCACCTTGTACAGCGCTAGGAAGATGAGCAGCAGCAGCAGCAGCCCCCCAGCACCGCTCAGCATGTAAACGGGCAGCTTCTCCTTCTCATACACCATGTCGACCTTCGTGAGGACCTGGGAGAGACAGGCAGGGCAGGAAGACCTCCCCATCCCAGGGTCCCCATTCCCAGCCTTGTCTCGGGCCCCGGGGCCTCGTCCCCATGCTGGCTGTGCTCTGACGCATGCACCCTCAGCACCGGTCAGGGCTGGCATAGCCACACGCTCCCCAGAGCCCAGGACAGAGCCAGAATCCCAGCTGGGCACACACAGCCCCCGATCTGGCTTCTGCTCACCCCATGGGCTTCACTGCCCGTCCCCTGCTCTCAGCATGGTCTTGTGCTTGCTGCTCTGCTCCAGCACGCCATCTGTGTGCTGTTAGGCCGGTGGCATTTTGTTAAACTGCCACCAGGTTCTTTCTGGGGATACACGAGACTACTGGGTGCAGAGAGGCAAGCTTCCCCGCAGCACACGGCTCTGGCCTGGGGTGGTGGCTCCGGGCCCACCGGCGCCTGCTATGGGCTCAAGGTGCCACATACCTGGGCCACTGAGGAGTTGCTGCCATACAGGTGGAAATGCCTGCTGCTGTTGAAGGAGATGGCCAGCGAGCTGCAGAGGCTGAGTGTGGAGGAGGCCTGCGGGCGGAGGGGGCAAAGGGACAGTGATCTGGAGCCCTGAACACCGGCTGTGCACTCCTACTTCACTCTTCACTGCCTGGGGGAAGCTTCCCTGAAAACATGAGGACTTCCACACAGGTCGCAAAAACCACCCTGCAAATGTCAAACAAGCCACGGTTCTCTCTCATCTGCAGCTGTGTAAACTTGGGGATTTTTTTTTTCCATTTAAACAGAAAAGCCGGGGCCACGGGGAGCCCATCCCCACCCACACCCAGCGCCCATCTCTGTGCCAGCGGCGAGCAGGTGCTACCTCAATGCTGCCCACCAGCTCCACGCTCGCGGTCACTTGGATGAGGAACTCCCTCCTGAAGACGAGTGGACAGCGGATCTCGGCTCCCGGGAGACAGGGCTGCAGGGCTAGCGTGGTCAGGGCCTGGCCTCCATCCCCGGCCTCCGCCCCAGCCTCGGTCCCTGCTCACCCCTCCACACTCCCACCTGGGTGCCATTGGGCGGCTCCCTCAGGTCCTCATGACGGCAGGTGATGCCAGGCTCCTAGGCAGAAGGGCAGAGTCCCCAGTTGGCCAGATGAGACGGGCACCTTGCTTCCCTCGCTGGCCCTGCTGACCCGGCCCCACCCAGGGGACATGGACCGTCCACCCGCATCCACACGCAGGCCGGGCAGCACTCACCATCTGCACGCTCCAGCTGTGCGTGAAGGGCTGCCCACTGTGGGGCTGTGGCACCTGGATCACAGCCTCCAGAGTGGGCGCGTTGTGGTCCCAGGCAGAGGGCGGAATCCTCACCTGGCAGAGGAAGGGTGCGGGGTCCGAATGTCGGCCCACCTGCCCGCTGCCCGTCCGCCCGGCCTGCAGACCCCTGGCGGCTCCTCCAGGCTCCCCAGCTCTCCACCTGTGGCAGAGCCGCCCACCCCACAGGGTCTTCCATGTCTTCATCTCCCGCACACAGGGCAGCTCCCTCATTCTGCTCATCCCAGTAGGGGCGACCTGTGTCTGTGTCTCCATGAGACCACAGCTTCCTGAGGACGGGAGCGATGCAGGATACTGTTCAATACAGTACCCTCCCCTCCCTACACAATGGAGCTCAA